TTATTAGTTAAGTGAACGACGTTGCCGACTTTGAATACTGTTTCGGTTTTTATATTCACAGATTTTTTTATATTCAAGTAACGTGACAAGTAAGATTTATTCATATCACCGTTTCTTTCGAGTACCTACTTGCATTGTTACATATGGCAACGTTGGTGTTACTAGGCGCAATCTGAAGGTTTTCCTCATAAACTTTATTTTTTGACGGTTTGGTGGGTTTGCTTGCATACGCGAACAAATTGGATATATTATAATGAAGCGAAATCACGCTCTTTTATTTTCGTTGCTGATAATCTCAACATATGTCAGTCTGCTTCAAATCGCTTCTATATACACTATTATGGTATCTTGATGAGTCGAATTTGGAACCTCTGGCCTAAAATAGATCTATTGAAAACACTTTTCCCTCACCAGAACAAAAATGTTGTCTCTCGACGCTTGTTTCATCTCCTGATAATGCTAGCGAAACGGAAGTCAAGAGACACCAATTTTGTTTTGGTGAGGGAAAAGTGTTTTTGACAGACGATTATGGTCCTATATCTTTCAAAGGCACCATTGTCACATGATGGCAGTGCAGAACTAAGGGATAACAAAAAAATACTATATTGGATCAAGAACATCTCAGAAAACTGATGATATGACGATGATATCTCGTTTTTCATTCCGTTCTGGCGGTGTCATCTTTCATATCAATATCAATAACAACGTCTCTAATGTCTAGAATGGAATAGTTCAGAATAGTTGTTGATTGACACAATGAAAATTATCTCTGTAGATCTGTTCTCTAGAAACACATATACATTTTTAATCGATTTATCCACCAATTTCATTCCTTTTATATTTAAGGATCTTGTAGGAAATTATGCATATAGGTACACATTATTTCAATGGATTAATACGAAGATGTCTTCAACATTTTTCTAATTGAAGTCTTATACAACAATGCCAAGAAATAAAACTAATAACAAAGATATAACGACAAACTTCTTTTAAGAATAGGAACACATTATCAAACGGTCGAGATTTGTTTACATAATTTTTTCATTTGGAAAACATGCATGTCGAATATTCCCCACTGATGTATATTTTTATACCTAGGATAGTTCCCAGTTTTTTTTCTGTTAGTGTCAACGTCTTCGACAGACATGGTCAGAAGGCTCATGCTTTTAAAGTAATGTATTAGAATCAATCAACCAACTAATATATACATTATTCCGAGCAAAGTTGAAAGGTGTTAGGAATCACACGTTGAAAGGTAAGACCTCGTTAGTCCTTAGCTCGCACAAGTTTCTCAACTTCTGAGAGTTGTCTTTCGTATGGGGGCGACAGCTGATTAACGGAAAAACGGATTTTTAAACAGATTTTTTTCAACAAAATTCAAAGCTGTTGGATTAGGATAAAGGCACACTACCACTGGATTCATTCACTGATAAGTTCTTGATTAAACGTTGGCCAACTTTAAACTTTAGGTATACTACTTAGTAGTCGAGTATTCATAAACGCTTTGTTAAAACGTTATGATTGAACTATGGTCGAAAGTCTCGGAAAATGACATTAGACTAAAATTAAAATCTGATTAGTCGTTCTTAGAATTAAAAATGAACTATGTCATAATATTTTTTGGTTTTTCTCATAGCAGAGAAGTCAAAAAATCTAATATCAATTATTTAGCTCGTACAAGTTTCTCAACTTCTGAGAGTTGTCTTTCGTATGGGGGCGACAGCTGATTAACGGAAAAACTGATTTTAAAACAGATTTTTTTCAACAGAATTCAAAGCTGTTGGATTAGGATAAAGGCACACTACCACTGGATTCATTCACTGATAAGTTCTTGATTAAACGTTGGCCAACTTTAAACTTATCTGTTTCAAGTTAAAATATTAATAACTATTCGAATTTTGCTACATGAAAAACTTATATTTTTCCTTACAACTTTCTATCCGGCAACGCCGCGGTACTAATCTCTTTCAAAAAGTCTCTTTATGCAGCACAAGGCTATTGTTCTCTTTATGATTACGGTGCAGCGGAGTGATAAATAGCCCAGTCATTATCTAATGAATGATGACATGTTCAGGCACCATTTAAAGAGCGTTCACACGTTCGCCGTTCTACATAACCCCGGCTGAGACAGAAATTATAAAGAAAGTTAGTCCATAAAACACTCGATAATGCACTGACGTTAGCGATTGTTTCGAAGTCATCCACACCTTATCTTTAGTCTGGAATGTAGTTTATTTTTCATACATGCATCAAATGACCTTCTCTTGTTTTGGTTCAGCATGAAGACTTTCATAGGAGCTCCCATTGGCGCTGGAGGGCTGGATTAATTAATTGTGGGGGAGAAATGAAATTTAAGTATGTTTAGGTGACTCTATACAGTGCCACTCTAAAGAACCACTGCGAATAAGTCGATTGATATTGAGACTATATGTGATGGAATTGGCCAACGATGAAAATCTATAACGACGTCTTACTGTAATAAATACTACTAAATGGAAGAATAATCCGATTTCAAATTGTTTAGAAGTTTTCAATAAATTGCCAGAAAAAATAAAAAATCAAACAGTTCATATATTTCCAAGAATTTTTTTTGTTCAATGATAATCATCAAATTATAATTATTTCAATGCTCATATTTTCTTATTATCACAAGTTATTATTAATTTTTGTCTAAACATGTTATTAGCTACCGTTTACCAGCATAATCGTGTCTGCAAGTTTTGTACCAAATAAATAAAAGAAAACCTAGGTATATACTACTGACATATCCGACACTGAAGTTTTGCTTCATTGTTTTTAAGGAATTTGTTTAAATTATTATTTGTTCTGTTCTGTTGAAAAAAAGACGTATTTTCAAATGGCAACGTTGATAACAGACGACGTGACTTTTCTTCAGAAATAATTAATAAAGGCAATATTGTTGCAGTTCTAGGCCTTGGAAAACCCGTAGTATTTGACTAAGTTGTTTCCCTAGCACCAGGTACAAACGATTTCAAAATTAATAAATTGATGGATCTAGCCGTTAACTACGTGGTAGGAAATCATAATGAAGAAAAGAGAAATGAAACTTTATATGTTTCATTTCTCTTTTTTTCATTATGATTTAAAATTCTTCATCGACACAAATTTCATCTATATGAAATGAAAATGATTCATTGAACGGAAATTAGGATAGAGAGTTGAATTTTATGAAATATTTTTAGAGCGCTTTAACCGTAATCCAACTTTGTTGTAGGTACATATTATTCTCCAAAACTTGTACCTTTTATATGACTCGGCAAGTAAATCGTCAAAATGTCCGATACTGAAGTGATTCAGATCCCAATAAAGCATGCCAAATGCAAATGCACATTCAATATCCATAAAAACTAAATGTTTGATCAGGAATATTGGGTAATCATATTAAAGGACCATTCCTTTTGGAAGAAAACCTAAATGATGAATGATATTTCGCTGACTAATCGAGTTATGACAAGCATTTACAGGACCATTCAGTTAGGATCCTCTATTGCGTAATACCTGTGCGACAGTTCCTCAATAAAAACTTTCCGAGTTGATGGATGGAAGGAGAGGTTCAACACTGATTTTTTTTGTATATAAATGGTGAAATCAAAAGCCTACGAGACACACTCGATTTCTGTAAATACTTTACGAAAATAAATTACTGGGTGCATGGTGGCGAATGTCATGGAGGAAACAGAAGCTCGTATAACTATTTTTGGCATGTTTCACTTCCTAGTTCGAAATGAAGTAAAAATTTGAAGTATTTTATATTTTCCGGTATTCCTTATCTTTGTAATGTCAAAAGTGTTACAGGGTTAGACACATAATTGAAAGACCTTTTAAATAAGGTGTCACTTGACTGTTAGTCTCATTCGAATGCGGGTTGTTATGTGAAGAAGATGGCTGACAAGTGGTTAATTTTTACTTAAAAATGTGACAATATGAAAACAAGTTGAAGTAATTTACGATTTTTTACATTCCAAATATCAAATTCAGGGAGGCTCATTTCAACTGGAATGAACTGTATATTATGAATAAACGTATTTCGGACGGTCTGTATTATATGCTGGAATCATTTCACAGTAGAGTTCCAACGCATGAAGAAACGTTGGTACTTGTGAACTTTTAACTAACATTGAATGAATATGAAAAGTAATGAATACTCATAATGTCATTACAATTTGTTCAACCACGTTCTAAACCTTTGGTGCGGCGGCAGTTATCAAGCAATGTGCTTTCGGTCTTACCGAACGATGTCGCAAAATGGTCATTGGTTATAGATGTCAGCGCGCCGTCTGTAGCGACAGGGATTCAGGGAAAAGACCTGATTGACGAAACATTTTCAGTTAAACAAATAATATGTATTCCTCCTCTTCCACCAAAGTAAGACGATATTCGTCATGGAGTTCTCAATACCGGAACGAATGTCGTCCGAATTAGATTAAATTGGCTTTTGAACTTTGTGGAGTCTAATCAAAATGGTTTTTCTGATTATTGGAATCACGAACATACGGGCTTGTCGCACTACGGCGGTATGGTCCGTGATTTTTGGATGTGTGGTGTCATTAATTATTGATGCCGGCGCTCCTCTGTATTGTAGGGGCTTCGGAGAAAGGGCCTGACCAACGAAACATTCCTGGGAAATAATAAAGGTGTTAATTTTCTACAGTACAAATCTGTTAGGTTTTTCCGTTAATCAGCTGTCGCCCCCATACGAACGACAACTCTCAGAAGTTAAGAAACTTGTGCGAGCTAAGGACTAACGAGGTCTTACCTTTCAACGTGTGATTCCTAAATAAATTACCCATGTGGTAATAACGTCAAGTTTTCCTTATCAACTTATGACAGTTCAATATTACTAAATGTAGAAAACAATAATACATACATAACGCTGAAAGTAAAGAAATTTGTTAAATATTTCACATGTGCTCAAAAAATAAATATGAAGAAACAAAAACTGTGTTCGTCCATTTCATTGAAATTCATTTTTGTTTCAGATGACCATTCAGATTATGGGAGCACAGTTAGCGGAAGCACCGGAAAATCCCCCGGACCTATTTTTCCAGCGCCTACTTTTACTTTTCCTGGCCAACCACCACCTGGAACAGTCCTCACCCATAAAGCTGCCGTATACTACCATCACCAACTTAGTTTACAAGAGGATCAAGGAATCGATATGACACAGGTGAAGTTCTGTTAAAATGTGAATGTGAAATTCGATATGATGAAAGAATGTCGTCACACTCCCAAACTTTACTATAATTTTAAAGATGTTACACTTCTCATTCAAGGCATATTTGAAACCATATATACTTCTCTAATAGGGTGGATAATTAATCAATCTTTTCTTTAGTCTCCCGGTAGAGATAGTCCCGGTTCATCAAGCGGAAGTGCTGGATCTGGATCCAGACACAGCACAGCATCTCTAGACAGTGGAAGAGCTTCCTACCACCCTCTCAGTACTGCCGGAAGGAGTACCATAGGATCTTCAAATAGCCCAAGGTGTTCTCTGAGCTCCTGTTCCATTGGGTCGGATCAAGGCCGTATTGAACGAATGATTCATCAAGGAGTACCAGTAAGTAACTTAAATATAACTTGTTTTGATATAGTGGTCGTAAAATACTCCTGGAAAAAGGTGTATTCATGTAACAGTTTCAAAGATACAAAATCATATCATTCTTGAAAGTTCAGATTCAAAATCGATGGAGCTACTTTTTCCGAGAAAATTCTGTGAGAAAAAGGGAAAAAATGTCAGTAAACTAAATTGTTAAAGATAGAAAAAATAGTAAAACAGAAACTAATTCTAGACTTTTTGTGACGTTTATTAAAATAAAAATCATTTTCTAAATAAAAATATTCACATATCAATACTAATAATTACCTTATTTGCAGGACCAAGAGATAATTCATTCTTGGCTGGTAGACTTGCAGTTTGAGGAGTATTTCCCACTCTTCATATCAGCTGGATATGATTTACCAACAATAGGAAGAATGACCCCGGAGGATTTGACTGCTGTAGGAATTAAAAAACCAAATCACAGGAAAAGACTGAAGGCTGAAATTGCACAGCTCAATTTACCAGATAACCTGCCTGAATTCATACCGGTAACTATTCAATTTTATGGTGCTTTTACCATCTGTAAGAAAGTTTATTGCTAGTAAAAATCAAAGTTTCAAAAATGTTTGATTATTATTATCTACATTCATAATATGTAAATAATAAGAAGTTCAAACTTAACCGTCTCAATATCATCTATTGAATTATTTAGGGTTCTTTGGAGGAATGGTTGAATTTACTACGACTAGACGAGTATCTTCCAGCCTTTTTGGATCAGAACTATCAGACTGTAGATGACGTGGCCCAACTCACATGGGAAGATTTGGAAGAATTCGGAATAGTTAAACTAGGGCATCAGAAAAAAATTATGCTAGCCATCAAACGAATCAAGGACATCAAGGCGGGAAAAAGAATACATACAGATTCAAATAGAATTTATGCTACACAAGTAAGTTATTCATCAATGAAGCACTATGTGCCTGATCTCTTAACTGTACCCTTTTAGAGTTTATCCCTTGTTCGGTCATTTATTTTTCATTCCAATGCATTTTTCTATACTTTGAGCATGTTTCATAATTCGATCAAAATTCTGAAAGTGAATGTTCATTAGATTCTCTTTTGATATTTCACATCAATTACCAGTTATCAATTCAATATGTTTTTCTTTAATTTCCTCATCACTCTACCCACAAATACACTAGTTATTTCAACACAACATGTTCAAAGTACTAAAAGTAAATGATTATAGTGGAATTGAAGTTGAATGTTGAGAACATATTTTTTATTACCTATTTACTTTAAAGCAACACTGTAACACTGTTTTTATATGATTTATTCCTATGGTATTTTGTGTGTCAGGCACATCTTTATATTCCATTCATTTGATAAATCATTTGGAACATCTTATAAATATCATTTGCACATTTTTCTAAATATCCTTATCTTTATCACAATATGTGTATCTGTAATCAGTTGTAGTTTTAAAATGTAATATGAATTTGTGCTTGAGATTATAAATGGTCCCCTACAATCAAAATCAGATGTGAAACATCAATATTAACTTTGCTGCACTAGTTGCAAGCCCCCTGTTCCTAACCTCTTGAAAATGCTTCAATCTCTGAAATGGAAACCCAACTAAAAAATGTGAATGCTGAAGTATACCGCAATTTGTAACAGATAAATGTATTCAAACAACAGTAGATTGAAGGAAAGATTAGTGAAAAAAAAGTCATTCGTGAAAATTGTTACCATCCTCTCATCACATACCTATATGTTTGGTTAACAAATTGAGAATGTTGGAGTAAATTTCTGTCAAAATTTCGGTGAATACAAACGAGAAACATTAGACTTCTGCTGCTGATAAAATTGTAGCCAACTAATTTTTAGTAAGTTAAACTTTATTTTATAGTGGAGAACAATCCCTGAAAAGCCCTATTAAATCCGAATAGATTTTTCTTATTTTGCGTCATAAGTTTCAAAAAATGTCTTATCAGTATTTAGATATATTCCATAATGAATTTATTGTTTTTTGTATAGAGTTTTGTAGCAAACATGATAATAATCACAAATTTTCACAATATGTATTTAATTTCCAATACGCATTTCTCTACATAGTAGTTTCCTCAGTTTAACTAGTGTCTAAATTTTGAAAATTTCTATTTATTATCATGAAGAACGTTAACGGGTCAGTATATTGAAAGAAGGTATAATAATCCAGGTTATCCTATTATCGATAGTTTCGGAGAGTTGTCTTTTCTTTTAAACTTTGATGTTGAATAAAAACGGCACTTGGATTTGCTTACACGTTTAAAGAATTGTTCTCTATTATAAAAAAAAGTCCAGTAAGAAATTCATTCGGTAAAGAGAACAGGATCTAATTGTCCAGAGTTAGCGGTTGTTTTAGAATGATCTGTTTGTAACTTTAGTTTTCCATCTTTTATATCACTAAACTGATGAAGAGGGGTAAATTATATCTGTGATGAACCACAAACATTCGAATAAAAGTATGTTTACCTCATAAAGGAAAGTATTTAGATAAAGGAAATTGCTCAAAAGAAAGCATAGTTTTTATTTATTGATATTGTTGAGTGCATCCACAGAAAAATTGTATAACTTCAAAATTTACTGAAAATTGTATTGAAACTGAACAGACAAAAGAATAGAAAAACATGTTTGAAAATTGAAAAAAAAGTTTATCCAACTTTGATAATTTTGCCTCCCTCATACCTCTACTGTTGAAAATAGGATTTCGAGCAACATTGAAGGGTTGGTGAACATGCAAAAAAAATTTCGTCAACAAAAATATCGGTTTTGTATTGGAGTACTAATGATTTTTATACGTAAAAACCACAATTTCCAAATCTTCTTTTTACAATTAGTTTCAGAGCTTTTTCAAATAAATTGGGGGGATGAAGTTTTTTGGGATGCTGAATTTGAAATCTGAATTGGTTAATATTGATCGCCAATATAATTTTGAGAGGAAACTGTATAACTCTCTATAGAATCAATATAATAGGCTGTGCAGCTCTGGAATCGTATGTGTAGACCATTTTCTGGAATATCCTTTATGGCACTCACAATGTTATAATGAAAAGATTTCATTGGATTGGTTGATATACAAGTTGTTCCACAACAAAAAATAAAAAATGAACTTTGAAGTGACAATTATATTTATTTGGGTTATATTTCAGGAATCATCTCTATTATTCCTTCAAAGATCTTGTAAAATATTTTATTTTCTCAAATGTATCAACAAAGTGATAAATTTTTGAGTAATTTCTTCGAGATTCAGATTTGAGAAAGAGAACGAAGTTGGCTTCCAAAATATAACCAAAAGGAAGTTCAACTTCATTTAAAATTCATGTTGTTATCATGGAACAAATTATTTAATGAAATGTGTGATTATGAACACAAGTATCTTTCTAAATAACATTTAGACAATATTTGATTCAACATTGATACTAATTTCAGAATATAATTGAAATATTCTGATATATAAAAACGGGGGGATGATTCCATGAAGCATTTTCAAGGGACTCAAGCTCTTTTACCTTTGCTTACGCTGCATGTTTGTGTATAAGGACGTACTGGTGCACGCACCCATGGACCCACCGCCATCACCCGGCCTGCAACCCGCAGTCCACAGCACTTTCCACTCTTTTCACCAACCCTGGGAGATCGACCAAACGAGACAATTACAGCTGCAGTCAGGCACAGCCGCTGCCAGGCATTACCTGCCGCCCACTTACTATTTCACAGACATTGTTCCCATCAAGGTACCGAATTTTCAACACTCTTTGTTGTTAGGTGATACATTTAGTGTGCATGTCTAATCTGAAAAAATTTCTGGCATCTTATTGGGAAATTGAAAATTGGAAAGAATTATTTTTCGTATAAACTTACTGGGATTTCAAGTGCATTTATTTGAATGGTGAAATTTGATATTAACAGACCAGTTCATGGCCTCATTCAGTTAAGAAACGATTTTTAAGGGCCTTTTTTCTTTCCATTTTAGACATTTCAAAGATACGGTTGATTTATAGACCAAATTTTCACTTATATTTGGATCGTTCATACAAAGTTAAAAGAAATCAATCAAAACATAATTCACCACGAGATTCAAAAATTTTGTTGCAATTCATCCCTACAATTTTCCGAAATAATAATCTGTTTAAAGTAGAAAACAGCTATAGATATAAGAAAACAAAAAACTAATTATTCATTTTTTACTTCAAAGAGTTTGCTTGTATGTTTACTAAAGTTTAATGATGTATTTTTCAAGTAAGCAATAAGTTCAATTATGTCATAATGTTGAATGGTTTTAACTATTTTTCACCAGAGATACTGTTGAGTATACAAACAAATTTTGATGTGAGTTTATTGAATTTATGGAAGCATGCTTGATTTAATCAATTCCATGATGCCACATTCATCTTGCAGTATTGAGATCTATGTTTCCACGCTCAATACTGATACTTCAAATTTGTTTCAGATCAGAACAGGTAGAGGAAAATCTCTTGAATCTCTTGAGGATCCCAATGAAAGGACACACCATACATTCACTACTGATAATAGCCAACCATTTTACTACCAACAACCTATTGGTTGGAGACCCAGGTCTTATGATGATGGAGATATAACACCCACAAATGAAACTGGCTTGCTTTACGAAGGTGGAGGAACGCTTCCAAGGCCTCGAGGGATTATACGCCCAAGACCTATTGCGAAAATAGCAGCTAAAGCAAGAGAAACATTCCCAGAATTTGAGAAACCACAGTTCAATCCAGAAAAATATGTCAATCCACAATACAAAACGTTACCAAGGGAACTGATGGAAAACCAGAAATATCACATGCAGTATGGCAGGTTAGTAATGTATATAACTGTTGACCAAATGACACCAAATTACCAACAATTTTGATATAAACTTGTTGGTTAATATCACACCGTGATCAATACGAAATATGGTACGAGAGCTGGGATATACTGTGTAGGAAGAAATTTCCTTTTCCTCTTCTTTTTCTCTCTGTGTATCTCTCTTTTCCACGGGGGTTTGTGTGCTCTTTTGTTGTGTATGGACATCTCTTTTTGTATAATACGCGGGTCTCTATTTTTTTGGGGAGTGTCGCTGTGTTCTCGAGATTTTTATTTTTGTGTGATCTCGAGTGTTTTTTGGCTTGCGTTTTTTTCGGGGGCTTCAGGAGGCAAAATTGAATTCGTTGTTTAAGAAGTGCCATTGCTCATTACTTGTCTTCTTTATCTGATTCTGTGGAAACTGTTTAGCATTTTTTGGCCATATATCAATCAAATTTTTTGCTTGTATTTTTCTCTGCACTTTATTCTCATGACATCTTATTGATCAATATTCCACAGAGTGATTTTATGCCTTTGGGAGGAATTTCCTCCTCACCAATGTCACTTAATTTCACTCTTCCAGTAGTCTTTGACAAATTTTGCATTTTCAAGTTAGTTTAGACTATATGTATCCTCGTATAGCCTCTATTGAGGTTTTTCTGAACACGTGTCTCTATTGCATGCATTTTTTTGTTTGAAAGAAGAAGAAATAGATTCCAAAGATTAGTTTGAATCTTTGTAACACATTCATCCATCTTGAAACTATCGATTTACTAAGTGTGTTGATTGAATTGGTTCAGTACAGTTCAGTAACTTTTACATTGTTTTTTTTTATGTTGCAGCTTGTGAAAGAATGTTGATATAATCATTTGATAGATTATAATCTACTATCTGTGTTGTGGAAACATTCTAAATATTAAAATTTGACATGTTCGGCAATCAAATATAGAATTAACGTCATCTACATGTTCATAATTTTTATTAATTACATGTGAATGAAGTTAAGCCATTCAATAATCTGTTGATTTATTTTACAGCCCTTTAATGGGTAAGAAGATACCTCCCAACCCGCCAAAGAGACAGGACAGCGAGTGTCACGAGCAGACCACAACAGTGGAAATCCACCACGTCCAGACCTCTAGTCCTCTGCCACTTCCAGCATATCCTAGTTCAGATAGTCTAAGTATATCTCTAGATAGTCAAGGCGACTTACCTTTGCCTCCTCCTCCAGCTCCGGGGACTCCTCCAGGAGCTTCGCAATGCAAGCTCAACTCCTCACAATCTTGGGGCGCTGAGGAACAGGAGCTGATAAAAACGTTGGCGTTGCAGCACAGAAACGGTTCCGATGCAAGTTTTAAGGTAATAGAAGATTTCTGTTTGATTAGGCCAGAATGAGTATACTGTGTGAGGATTTTTCGTCATAATGGATCAGACTTTTGTAATATTTTTTTGAACACATCAATTTTTCCAACTCGGAAACTGCATCAGTAGCGTCTTTCTTGTTTTACTTATATACAAACCTTCAAAAAAAAATATAGCAATTGATGTTTAGACGTGGGAAGGGTAATTGGAGATTTTCATTTATGATTTGATGTTATCAGTTAAAAGTTTATGTGAACCCTAATTATTTCCTGATATAAATTATTAAATATTACTTATCAAAAATTCAGGAAATTTAATGTTTGTGTTAGTCTTCTTTGTCTACAGTTGTTTGTTCACCGTAAGTGTTACATAATGATTTGTTTTCTATTTCAGTCGAGTTCCAGCACAGAATCAGATTCGCTGCCATTCGCCAATGAGAACGCCGGTACGATAAGAACCCGTGCCGGTACTAGGCAGGCAGAGTTCTCATCGCCAAAGCCGCGTGCCTCCTCTGCTGGTCTTCCCCCCCATCCGTCCCCCACGCCTACTAGACAGCAATCGACTGTCCCTCGCAATCAAAGAACGGAACCTGTCGATGTTCTCAATGACATTGGGAATATGCTGGCCAACCTCACAGACGAATTAGATGCCATGTTAGAGGAAGAGAAAAGGCAACAGTAACTCTATATCTGTATAAGACTGAACATCATGTTATAATTTCAAATTATTTTTGTATGATTTTCCAGCTTTCCAGGATTTAGAAACTCACATGGTTTTTGTGTTTTGAACATTTGATCTCATTTTAAAATTTAATTTACAAACTATCAATATTCCAAAAATACTAGAGAAATGAACTAGCATGCTAATCAAGACATAGTTTTTAAATAGTTAGGTTTTGATTGCATATTAGGGGATGTGATGTTACCTGAAGTTTCAGTGAATGATTTTCTCTGTTTCTCTGTTCTTTGTTTTTCCTATAATTTTAGGGAAATAGAGATGACTGTATTTTGACCCTGACAAGAGATTGGGCCTGCTTTCCATAAGTTCACTGTTATTAGGGCTGATTATAGTTTCATAATTGTTTTACTGACAGTTTCACCACAGCAAAAAGTTCAGTTGGTATATTTGTATTTCTTCAACCAGTTTTCAGAAAATTGTTCAACTCTATTACCATTTTTTGGTGTGATATTATCAGTGGTTATTTACAGACTACTTGATTTAGTATCACACATCACACCCCAAACGCAATTAGCTGCTTGAAACTATAATTACTGTAGAAACCCAAGTATTCAAATTCATTGTAACAATCCTCTTTGGGATATTCAAATATCCATATAATTGGATCTAACAAAAAAAAAGTTTACTTTAGATGGAAAACGCCTGAAAAAGTGTTGAGTGACTGAGAAGGATAATACAATTATAGGTGTATTGAGGGACTCGTCTTCGCCAGACACTGTTGGCGATAGGAAACGCTCTTTTCTTTCCCGACCTCTGAATGTATGTTGTTTGCAATACCTAAAAAATCCAAACTGATAATTGGCAATCTAGGTAGTTGGAATTTGGAAATTATAGTTCTACTGTAGATTTGATTGAACTCACTTAGGAACTTACTATAACTCAACAATTCAGCTGTTTTTATTTTGCATTCATATAAATCTACGATAATCTGGTTAAATCAAGGACTTTATAATTTGAGTATTTTCAGAAATGTCAATTTGAGCTTTGTCATAACATTTAAGAAAAATTCACCCAAAATTTTATTCCTGATTGCCTACTGTTCGCTAAACATGAATTCCCATTTTGTAATAACTCAGCTTCTTTGAATGTTTGAGGTTGGTGAATGCAGTCAATGATATCCTCTCACTTGATATTTTTAGCATCAGGTAGGTCTTTCAATTTTCAAATGTTAACGTCGAATTGCCATAAAAAAATAATGCAAAAAGTAAACCATGTGAATTTGTATTCAAAGTTGTATCAGACCTTTTCCTTAATTGTAGTCTAAATTTATTATTTTATTTTTTGTTCATGAAATGAGTTTGATGTATATAAAAAGGTTTATTTTATCCTGTACATAGTTATTTTAGGTAGAAATTATCATGTAAATAGGTGTAATTATTTTCAGCATTAACGATTTATCGATTTTTATATTGCTTAATGGCAAGTGGCTTCTTTCACATTATATTATTCACGATAATTTTGTGTTACAGAACTCGGTTAAGACCAATTAACTGATATCTTTGAACTGAAGCTGTTCATATTATATTCAGAGTTGATATTTCAAACATCAAATGGATTCCACTTGAAAAAAAAAAGTCTGTTAGTTCGGACATGAAGGTGAAAATTAATTTCATAGATCATTACTTTTTTTTTCAATTACTTCTCATCTTGAAGTACTCCTTTGAGAACCAAACTTTCAACAAGAGATACTCTGTTTAAATAGCAGTTTCCCACATATTTTGCTTGAAGATGAAGAAGTAGACTGTCAAAATCTGTTTTTCCAAAAGATATTATGTGTTTCAATTAGGTCTTGTAATATGTAGATATTACAACTATGCTTTCGAACTTGAAAAAAGAAACTTAATTGAAACTTTTGCCAATATGTTTTGTTGAGTGTTAGGTAAGTAACAAGTCTCGTGTTTAAATCAAGCCATGAACACATTCATCTGACTTTTCTATATGATATTCATTTTTGTACACCTCTTGAGCACTGAAGAAATTGACATTACAGGATCTGTTATATTTATGGAAAAAATGATTTATTCTTACAGTCATATTAATTTGGAAAAAATATTGCTTATTATCACATAAAACGCCTCCGTCCCCCAAGAAACTAGTATTCAAGTAATACTCCTCTCAAATTTAGATATATTTTGACAAATTAAGATGTATTTTGATTTCAATCTGTGTTAGTTTTTGAAGATAGGTACTGGGTTGAAAAAATAAAAAAAAGTAAAAGTAAACTGTGATTATATATAGAAACAATTAGAAGAATAGAAAAACTATGAACTGTCTCAACCTGCTCATTTTGCTGCAAGTCGGTCAAATTAAATATATAGTCACAATCTCTGACTCTAGTATCATCATTGGCAGACAGCGGGATTGACGGACTCAAGGAGTATTTTATACACTGAGAAGAGTCTCTCGGCAACTTAAGTTCCCCTTGTATATGAAGACTAGAGTATCAGACATGTCGTTGAGAAGATGCCAACTACTTGTATACGTTGAATATTTAGAAACTCACTCAAAATGAAAAAGTTAGAAGCAACTAGAAGAATACAAAAATTAACCTGCTCTCTTTGCAAATGGGTCAAGCTCAAAATATATCTGGAATAAGAGCATATTTCCAACTACAAACACTTGGTTATTGTTGACAAAGCGTCCATACGCTTGTGAAATTCCGATACGAAGTAGTCACTATGGAATTGAGAATTTCAAGTCCCTTCTGTACTTGAAGCATTTCCGTGGAAACAACCAATTTTCAAACTTAAAAAAAAAAATAAATGACAACAAAATTCAGCGTTTTTCATCCAAAAATGTTTTTTCACAAACCCTTCAAGATAGGAAGTAGTTTTGTTTTTGAAACGTCTGTGGGTGATTTGTACATTGATATTTTACTATTCCGTTATTTTCATCGGATTTTCCATTTTTTATAAAGTTCATATATTCAAAATACCAAATTCACACCAATAAAAATACAACTTCAAGAACAGCAACTGGAATGATTTACACACAGAATATTAATCAATCAAGGTATACTCTATAGGCGGAAGAACGAGGTTCTTAAAGACAAAGCTTATATACATATATAACTAACGATTAGATAAAATTACATAGATAATTTGAGTTTATGGGTTTCACAGTGTGAAATATGGAAACAGAAATATGGAGGAGGAGAGGTCTAACAAAATTGAATTATGGGCAAATAAAAAGATAGCAATTGAAAAAACTACAGTTTGTAATGAATATTGATTTCAAAAAAGTTGTAAACCTATTGACCTCATCAAACTCATCATAATCAATATATTGAGGATGTACTTCAGCAGTCGATGGCAAATCAAAGTAACAAAATAGAGTGTATCAAGGAATGTTGAAAAGTTGTCAATGCTGTGATATATTGACAGAGGTGTTGAATGACGCCACTAAGAAATTGAAAAAAATATCAAAAAATTTTGAAAGGGGATTATTGACAAGAAATACAACAGTTAATTTTTCGATAGAGAGGTCAATTTTATAAAAATTTATCCTAATTCCATGATGATTTGGTTTTCAAAGGGAGAAAAAAAGGTAACTTCTAGGGAACCCAATACCTATTGCACCAATAATCGTGTGAACGTTTATATCTTTCTCATTATTTTATGTGGACGATTCATGTAGAGGAAACTTAAAAAGTTCATAAATGGTCGGTGTTTTTAGATTTTGGTTTTTTAAAGAATCTACACAAATTTCTGGTTGTATAATAAATAAACTCCACGCATTCATTTCATAATGTAAAATTCCCAGAACCAAGGATACTTTGTAAGTTTTAACTATGTCTATTAGAAAAGATTCAGTTGATTTGGAAATCAATTATTTACCTATATGTGAAACAAGCCTAGTGAAAAATACTTAATGAATTTAGTATGCTTGTCAAAAAGCTCTTTGTTCCAAAAATGTTCCAGTGTGTAACAAATACATTGTCATTTCAGTTAGTTTACAATTTTCAGTGATAATTTTTTAAAAATATCTTCCAATAACTGGCATATTTATAAAGTTTTGGTGTTTGATTAATGAGAGCGTCTGAGAATCTGGTCCAAAAATTGAGTGTCCTAGAAATTGGGACACATAACTAATGGATCTCATATGCTTTCATCAATAAGTGGAAAAGCTCCACAGACCACTGTATTTATTTTTGAAATATATGTATGGCAAAAATATGAATGTACTGTAAATAGATAGAACATGTACTGAGAGTTGTAGCTGATAGAAGCCAAGTAATAAAAACTAGCAAATACTTTTGTACAAAGCCATCTTTTAGTATACGGACTTAGCAGAGCATTAGCATATGAAATATTGGTGTTTTAATACCTTTACACCAGAAAATCGCGACTTAGTCTCATTTCTTTTCTTTTCATCAAATGATTTTGAGAAGACTGATAGTACGATTTAAACATTATTTTTGATAGTCTAGGCCGAAGGATGGAGACCTAAAGAAAGAAGGACCTGAAAAATATGAATTTTTGAGTGCTGGTGATTATGTAATTACATAAACACTTACTGAAAAGGAGGAAACCTATTTGAGTAACTTTCCTACTGAATAATTTTCATAGAGATCAGTTTCATTCAATGGCTTTGATTTCAACATATTTTAATTGATCCTTTCTCCCTGGAAGAAGGGATTGTTTTCAAAAATTCCTATTTTTTGGAGAAACGTATTGTGTTGCATCTGTTGCCTGGTCTAAGTAGTCGATCTGAGTCTACATCGAAAGAGCGTCCAAGTGCCATAATAAAATAAATCCATTACTATTATACATAAGAGTACTTTTAATCTACTCACCGATCGAATGGTTAAATCTTTCGAGGTTCACACAGATTGGCGGATTTCAATGTCGACGCATTCAAATGTGTGTATTATATTTTGTCTCATTTACAATTGCCATTTTTGCAATGTTATTTGTAATAAAAAATGTTATTAATGTGCTACTTAAATAGTTTATATTGCATTCACTTATGTTGTTATTTGTCATAGCATTTTTTCTTAGAATTATAGCTGTTAACAATTCTGAACCCCCAATCCATTATATCCTTTCTCATTTTATTTTATTGGTTAACTGTTAACAAATACGAATATAGATCAAATAATAAAGTGGAATATTATAAATGTTCGTTTCAATTAAGATCCTGATCCAAGGCAATTGAATTTAGGTATTGACTACCAATAATATGTTATGGGTTATTCCAGCTTGTCAAAATTTAAAGTTATTACCATTGTATATAGATACAAAGTTATCAAGATATGTATGCAAGCACAGTAAAAACCGAAAATCTATCAGATGGCGCCACTTATATATGGCTATAAAATATTCAATATAAATGAATAAAATGCCATAGTTCAGATGGGTTGGGGGGTCAGAGCGTAAGGGCCGCCGTGAACGCACCGTATCACATCCCCAACTGATTTTTATACAAAGACTTAGACCTGGACACGCGATATATGGACGTGTATATGAGAGAACACGCAGAAAGCGTGTTCGATAGAATCAGATCGCACAACAACCCAGCACTACGCGATCTATACGATGCGTTGAACATGGATGACCCCAGATTCCGGAAAAGGGACGAACACCCAAGACCGATGAAACAGAATCTACGACCACCCCCACGAGTCGCCGTTAGGCGACTCCGGTAAGCATATTAATCAGACTTTCATTCAGCAAGTTCACCGCAGAACAACTCGACCGCGATTCAATTATCCTTAGATTCACTGAGGAACTCTCGACGCTAACAACAATAGCCGCCGGTTAGTTTTTGGGGGCCCCCCCATGCAAAAATTCATTTAGGAATAGTCAAACAAAATATTTTTACCGATCGTGAAAGAATAGCACCTAAAGGCTGACTTTCGACCAAAAGAGGTCAGATGTCAATCTTGCTGAAGTGCCCATCAGTAAGTTGAGGACCGCTTGGAGAGCGGGGGTGGATGGAATGGGGTAGTAGGTTCTCCTCGCTAACTAGCTAGGGGGGAAGCTTCTACTTCAGGGCACTCTACCCGGGAGGGGGCATGGGGAGGGTTGTGGGGCCATTAGTCAGGAAAGCTATGGATTATACTGTAGACGACCCCTCCCGATATAGAACGCCCCGACACTCTGTCGATTGAAGCCTCTATATCCTTCGTTTAAAAGATGAACACATTTTTCATCCAACCCACCCCAGCCAGGTAGGGGTACACCGTGAAGGGCGGTACTGATGTCTGAGGACATTCATGCCGCCATACCATCAACACTCACCATCAGTTATGACCCGTTTGTCCTTCTGGCAAACATCAGTCCAAAGGTTAAGGGAGCCAGGCTCCAACCTGTTTGAATCAAGACGACGTGCAGGTTGGGGGGCAATCAGTCCAAAGGGTAAGGGAGCCAGGCTCCAACCTGTTTGAAATCAAGACGACGTGCAGGGTTGGGGGGCAAGAGATTCCGTGGACCAACGAAGCTAGATACTTGGGGGTCAACCTAGACAGAAGATTAACGTTCAGGTCTCACGTACGGCAGATAATAGGAATGGCGAGATAATAGGTCGAAGAAGCAACATGGGACTGAAAGTAAAGTTGCTAATGATAAAGACCATAATACTACCGATAATCCTGTATGCCTGCACTGCCTGGGGCCATTGAGCAGCGACATACAGAAGACAGATCCAGTCGTTTATGAACGCGTGCGTATAGGCCGCCGTAAACGCTCCAAGATATGTGCCGAATAAGTACATATTCCGAGATCTAGGCCTGAACATACACTACGTGGACGCATACATGAGGAAACACGCAGAGGACGTGTTCGACATAATTCGAGCGCACGACAACCCAGCGCCAAGCGACTTACACAACGCATTAAACTGCAACCAGTTTGAGTAGAGCCATGATGATGACAGCACGACCAGCTGTTGAAAGCGCTCGCATATAATTATGAACTATGAAATATCCAGTATGAATGAATACATTGCCATAATTTTGAAGGGATGGAGGGAGAGTAATACAGTAACAATTGAGAAAAATATGTGTTTTGGAATTCGCGAGAATGGAAGCAGGGGTCCCACAAGGTGCAGTCCTACTTATGTTTTCCAGAAACCGAAAAGCTTTTTAAAAAGTGATTTTTTTTTCAATACTTAAAAATTATAAAAACGATGTTTAACAGTACATGTATAAAATCAGACTAACTGCATAGGGTCATCCCCAAGGCGATGCTCTCTAGCCGGCTATGCTGATAAGAGGCTTTCCTAGGAATTGTAGCTGAGTGTCAGCAGAATCCGGGGTCAATGACAATGTAATTCCTCCCTCTGAAGATGGAAAACAGGGTTTCACGAAGAGAAAAATATTTTCCGCTGCCTTGGTAAGGGTGGATCTGTATTTCCTGCTTGAGGTCCTTCAGGCGGTTGGTTTCGGACTAACAGGTACTGGTATTTGTTTGTATATAACAAAGATCAAAAAACATACTATGATCAGCATATGCTGGAACTGTCCAAATATAACCTGATGATGGATGAATATGTGTGGTCGGTATATCTGTGGATTTCGTTTAGCTTGTCTGGAGGAATGTCTTGGAGTTTTAGGACTGGTACCACCTGGGTTGTTGGGGTTTGAGGAAGCATTATGTCTGGTAGAAGTAGGGTTTTTTCTCCTATTTCTATTGCTTGGTTGACATATTCGTCCGTGGTTTTGAACTGACATCCAAGAGGTAGGGTGATCAAATTGCTCCCTTGAGAGTGGTTATGTCTGTTGTTCCACAAATAGTCTGAATACAGGTGGAATTCTTGAATATGCCAATAAAGTGGGCTTCATCTACTTGTTCATTATGGAATATTGAAAATACACCTAATTCGTGGTGAGGTGGTATAATGGTGGTTCCATTCAAGGTAGGAATCGAGTATAGATGGTAAAGGGTAAATATATGTGGAACTACCAAAGGGAGTTTGATGACAATGACGATTTTATTATTTCTTTGATATGTATGATATCATAATAACGAGATGTATTTACTGGGTCTAATCCAAACAAAGTTTCAAAAGAACAATGTTTCAGGGGAGTCCGTCTACGATAATTTTGGTGAGCGTATTTTAAACAATTCTGATATATAGTGTAGATGTTTATTGCATGCGTATGTGGATTATATTTTCGACTTGGCACCTAGGGTATTAGTGAACATTTTCCATAATAATATAGCTACGAATCGGGTTCCCTTTTCATTTTATTAGGTTATTATAAGTCATAGTAATTTCCTACGTTATACAGAGAGGAGCGATTAAGTGGGTCTCTTGATAGCTTCTCAGAGTTGTATTTAAGTTGGTTTTATAGCATAGCTAGTAGAATTCAGGCAAGGCATATCTATGCCCTGAGTGAAGTTACCTCAATTTTCAAAGGAATACTCCTGTCAGTTTGTTTTAGTAGTTTACCCATAGTTTGCTCATGGTTATAATTATTTATTTTTTTTATATAGTGTAAATAACGTTCAGTATTAATTTTTGTTAATTTAATTTTTTTTTATTGTTAATCCGATTATTCTGCCAACTTTACTCATCAATAAAGTTGGTTTGTGAAAACTCTACTAATATTATTTCATTCCCTCAAACCCCTAAAAGACCACGCATTTAAGCCGTGGCCGAATCCAGTCTCTGAGGATATAATTGGTGGCATAACCAAGTCATTTCTCCATGAAGTTTAGAAGGTAGAAAAAAGTCAACCGTTGACCAAGTTGCCTACTAATTCTCAATCCGTGTGATCAGGACGGATTTCAAACTTTTTCTGATCTGGTGGCAGCAACTCTCACGCTACCAAACTAAATTAAGAAAATAAATACCTTTGGCTGAACGATCCCATATACAGAGGGGGGGTGAATTTTTCTGGTGCGAGTAAACTGAAATGATAATTATATATTCATTAGTAGTACTCATATAGGGATCGCCAATTCAGACCCGACGGTCAGCTATTACAGTATTCATGGCTTGTTAAGTATAATCGACTTAGATTGGCCAGAGGATAGATACAAGAATACTAGCCTCGAATATAGAGGAATCTACGAAGCAAGAACGGACGAGAACGTAGTAGTAATGTTAGACCCCACCATCTCGTTGGAAAGCGGAGATGAAATGAGAAATGAAGTGGAGAGAAAATTTCCAGATTTGTATGGAAAAATAGGGGATGGATTACAAAAAGACGACATTGAATACGCACAAAGAACTACAGAAATTAAACGCTCCAAGAGTCAGAACGAACAAAGAAGTTCACTCTACTTTGTGGTGGCTAGTGATACGGATTCCTTGATGGAGCGCGCAGAAATATACGAGGCTTTGAAAAGATGGAGGGAGAAAGCGGAATTACTTGGGCTAAGAAGTATATCTACGGCTGTACTGGATACCACATATATGAGGAAGAACCTCGAAAATATTCTAAGAGGGACTCAAATTACAGTTAAACTGCATACGGATATGAAGACAATGAAAAAAAGAATTATTCCAAGATTTGTTAGGGGAGACGACATCGCCAGAGTAATAGTTAAGGCACAAGAGGGTACGACATATGCTGAGTTGTTGAAGAGTGTTAAGGACAAGGTTAATATTGGAGAAACTGGGGTGGAAGTAAAAGCTCTGAGGAAAACAACAAATGGAGACCTCTTACTGGAGGTCAAGGGCGGGAGAGGAAAGGCTGAAATTTTGAGGAACTCTATAAAATCCAAGAGAGGCAACATCGAGGCATTTGTAAAGAAGAACGACACAACGGTGTACATAACGGATATTGATCCTACTATAAAGAACGAAGAGATAGAGAGAGAAGTCATCAACAATAATCCGGGAATTGACAATACGCACATTAAGATTGTATCCCTTAGGACTATGACATGGGAAAACCAGACGGCAACCTTAGTCATGGACAGGTTCGTGGTGGAGCAAGTCGTGAGATCAGGTACAATCAGGACAGGCTGGGTTGACTGTAGGATAAGGAAAAGGGTGAACCCCACCAGGTGCTACAGATGCCTTAAATTAGGACATCTGAAACAGGATTGTAGAGGGAAGGATAGGGCCGATACCTGTCTAAAATGTGGAAAGGAAGCTCATAGAGTCCAGAGTTGCAAAAATGACCTGTTTTACTTGACATGCAGATGTGAGGGACGCAGGGCGAAT